TCCCCGCCCCGGATGCCGTTAACGGACGCGGCGCGGCGCTGGGAGTTGAGGGGGTTGCGCGGCGCCGGGCTCGGTGCGTGTAGCCCACTGACAAGGGCCTCTTGTCCGTTAAAGGTGATAAATGCCCTGCAGTCGAAGCACCACTACGGCGAGGGAGAAGCCCGTGTGATTTGCGACAAGGTCCAGGCCAAGCTTCTCAAGGAGTGTCGCGATCCCGCCAAGATGTGCATCACCGACCTGCGGATTTCGCACTGGGAGGAGGCGATCCAAGAGACGATCGGCGGGGAGGTGAACCGAAACCTGGCCGCCGAGTGCTATTTCCTGTGGAAAACGACCCGCCTCCAGCACCTCACCCTGGCCGAGGACACGCGGGGCATGCTCACCGAGCTGCGGAAAGGGGTCCGCTTGCTGCTCTTGACTAACGGCGACAAACAGACGCAGAGGGAGAAGATCGAAGCGTGCGCCTGTCAGCCCTACTTCGATGCCATCGTTGTGGGAGGAGAGCAGAAAGAAGAGAAGCCGGCGCCATCCATATTTCATTACTGTTGCGATCTCCTGGGGGTGCAGCCTGCAGAGTGTGTTATGGTCGGTGACTCTCTAGATACAGATATTCAAGGAGGCCTGAATGCCGGCTTGAAAGCAACTGTCTGGTTAAACAAAGCAATGACTGCTCCGGTGGATACCTCCCCAGTACCTCATTATATTATTTCTTCTGTTCTGGATCTGCCAGCAGTTTTACAGAAGATGGAGCGCAAAATTAATGCTAAGTTAGGAACTGACCATATGGCTAGCAGTCATGAAGCACACTGATGGTTCCAGTCTACAGTCGGAGATGTGCTGAGCTGTTAGGTGACTCATGCTCTTTCAAAAAATTTGACCCTAGGATTTCGAACTCATGTACGGTATGCTTTCTTAAACAGCAGATGGATGAATAAGAGCACAGTTGTCAGTGAAAGCAGGATGGAAACAAAGAATTAGATTAATTTAAAAGATGCGAGTGCAGTTAATTTAAAACAGCTGCCTGCCTCTGGAAATTAGTTTGACAGGCTGTGGCTAAAGTCTATCTGTCTCTGACCTAAGCTGCCAGTCTCTTGTTTTTATAGTGGAAAAGGAAATGTGAATGTTTTGATCTTTCACATGCTTTGCTGACTTGTCAGTTTAGCAGAAGCTTCGGCTCAAACCTTGTTTGCAGTGTGTAAAAAAAAAAAAGTGTGGTACAATCTGGTAAATCTTCACAACTGATGTGCGGTTTATCTCAGGAACTGGAGTGAATTTTGCTGTTTCTAAAACCAGAATTTATTGACAAAATCTATTATGTGTCAGACCATTAGAAAATGCTCTAACTTTGATCTTTTTTCAAGTTTTCAAGTTTTAGAATTTTTTTCAGACTTTGCAGTGACTTCTCTTTTACGGAATCTGTACCTCTTGCCAAAAGTACTTAAACGTACATTAAAAAATTGCATTTGTATAGGGGACCATTTATCAGAGGGACCTGATGGATAAGTTTTTACTTTATATTATCTTGGTGCTTATGCGGGTATGCAGTATACTTGTAATTCAGATTATGATTTTTATTGGAATGTAATTGATAAAACAGGGATATTTTCAATGGTTTTACTGTACTGTCAAACTCTTTAAAAGCTAATATTGTTTTGTCTGATTTTATTAGTGAATTTTGATCAGACTTTTTGGAGAAACTGTTCTTGGTCTTGCTCAGGTGTATGGCTACTCAGATTCAACTGCAGGATCAGTCATGCTTTTTTTGACTGTTTTAATGGCACTGCTATACAATCCCTCCTTACTCCAGTTTCTACATGTATTTCATGTGATTTACTCTGGAGAAAATATGAGCTAGTTGTTTGTAAATGGCTTTCATGACTCTTCCAGGAAATTGGAAAATTATATCATATGTATTACTGTACTGTGCACAACATATATGCATATAATGTGTATGTGCTATTTCCACTAGATGCAGGAGATGACTCTCTGAAACACTGAGCTTTCTCTTTCCCAGATCATTATCTTAATAATTTAATTTTTCTGTACTTCATATTATATAATGGGAAAGTTCACATATTAAATGGAAATGTAAACACTTGTTGGAAAACCTGTGTTTTTCAAAACCTATTTGCTGTATATACACTGGGCTGCATATCTGACCATATATGAGCAGTCAAATTTTGTACTTTAGAATAAATCCATGACAGATCTTTTGAGAACAGGGATATTGAGGTGCTGGCAGAAGAGTGCCTGGCATGTGGGCAGGAATAAAAGATCAGCAAAAAGTACAGAAACCACCAGGAAATGGGTGTGTAGAAGGAATCCTATATACAAGAAAGGTTCCTTTGTTTAATTTGACATGAATTTAAGTTAATGTAGTTAAGTCTTGCATAGGATGACAGATTCAGTTTAGAGGAGGCTGTTGCAGATCTGGGTTAAATTATTTGGCAAAGAGTTTGGTCCTACGTTGAGGGGAAAAAAAAAATACTCATTGAAGTTTGAACCCCTTTCATCCAATTGTCCCTTAAAAAAGGTAAAGCAGTCCAGGTTCTTCATGCTACCTAGCCAAGACCTTTGAGACATCAGGATTGATGAGGAGAACAGAGGCAGGCCCCGCCTGTAGCATTGAGGAAACGGGCATGTGCTGAAAACGATCCAATTACAGTGGTATGGTAAGTTGCCACATGTAACATGAGCCAGTGGGACTGACTTGATGCACCTTTGTTACTGAAGTAGGAGGCCTAAGATAAGATTTTATTTTGCATTTGGAAGAGCATGAAAACAGTCACAGGTTTAGCCGATGAGCAAAGCGTTGCTAATAACATTCCTTATAACCAAGGATTGAGAGAAAAATAATAAAGGTCATTGAGCCTATGAGGACTATTGTGTAAAAGTAGAAATGTGTCCAAAAGGTTAGATGGATCCCTGAAAAGATTATATATTTGAAGTAATCTGTTTTAACCATACTGTCTGATATAAAAGCAACAACTTTGCTTACAACAGCATCCCAAAGGAGCTGCAGCATACCTCTGCATTGTTTGCACAGCGTCTGGGTAATAGAACTTAGGTCAGGATGAGGTTTCTGATACAGCTGAGATTTAAAATAACAAATAGTAATAATTCACAATTATGTCTGTGGGCTTGAAGGATATATATGCGCCAGGTTACCATTTTTTAACGTAAGTTGAGGCTCATACTCGCTTGCCCGAGCATCCTTCTGAAGTGGGGTGCTGAGCCTGCTTACTGTATAAAGGCTCTCTTGTTTTAGAAGAGACTGCTCTTCGTTTTGCACGTGGCCAGTTGTTTCCTTAAATCCATGAATCTGTGAAAACCACTGTAACTGAACACTCAGGTGATAGTGTGGTCGGTAGGGGCCACACCCAAGTATATTTTTTCCATTGCTGAGTACTATACCAGGCTGGATGTGACTACCAGTGTCCGGGTAGGGCAATAGTGTTATGATGCTTCTATAAAACAAGAAGGAACGATAGAAGGGATTTGTCTATCTAGGGGACTTCTTAAAAGCAGTTACCCAATAAACTGGATTAGGTATCTGGAGTATCTCTAAATACTCAAGATGTTTTTCTTGGATGGAGCTCTTGCAGAAAGCCTAATGAAAAATAATTATATTTAACAAAATGGAAACATAAATGTAGTGATGGGATAGTTTTCACATCAGAAGCGGGAACAAATCAATAAAACAGTCTATATTCAGTTCTAGTTAAGTTCTGGTTTTGCTTAGTGTTATGCCCTATTAGCTAAGTTGTCTGGTTTAAACTATGTTGCGAAAACACACTAAATAAAATGAGGAAAAAGAAATTCCATCTATATTTTTAAAAACCTTTTTTTTTTTTCCCGATAAATATTACCTCCTGAGGTTAATATACAGTAACTTTGACTTTAGTGAAATGAACTGAAACAACAGTTCAATACCAACTGTATTTTAATTCTTGATTTAAAATAACCCACGTACTAGTCTAATAAAAGCATTTTGTTTATAAAACATTTCTTTTAATGCTCTGTAGTACTGTGGATGACTATGTTTGTGACCAGGTTTACAACAAAGGGCAAGAGTTCTGTTTGTTTTTTAAAATAGCACAGAATTAGGCTTCAGAATCTGTGACCTCACGTTTAGATGTGGTGACAGGGTGTAGTTTCCATCATTTCAAACAGAGGCTGGAACATAATTATGTATTTATGAAGCTTCTTGGCCGGACTGTGTAAATCCTATTGAATTCCTAACGGCAGTTCATTGCTGGTTGAACCTGACTTGCCAAGCTGAATGCCAGCTCAGATGCGCCTACGTGTCCTGATACCAAGGCACTGGCTGCTGCAGCAGCATCAGAACAGGCTGCGAAGCAGATGAAGAAACACAGTAATCTCAAGTCCAGGGGACCCATTTCAGCAGGTTATGGGTGCACAAAGTCATATCTGAGCTATTGCTACACTCGCCTCTGCGTGACTTGGGAGAGGGGAGAGTGGGATGTTGCTCACCTCACAGCTGTTTTGGCTGCAGAAAAGCAAGCTGTCCCCTGATAGTTTTCCACTGGGTAATGGAACAAATTGTCCATCTTCTGGACCTGTGGAGATAGATGGAGAGAGGTGGAAAGGTACTTAAAGGTACTTTAGATGAGGGTAGGGTGTTAAACTGAGTAAAGGGGGACTCAGCCTCTAACGCGGGCACTTGGCTGTGCCAGCTAGCTGTCTGAAGTATCGCAGATCCGCACACCGCCGCATCTCTGTTCTTGTTGAGGAAGCTTTGTATGTATAAGGCATTAAGCTGGACGCCGAGAGCCTCAGAAATGAGGACGTTTTCTTACGCACTTGAAAGACTTTAGCACGAAGTTAGAGTTCTTAGCAGGTGACCCAAATGTTTTATACAGGAGATAAGTACCTTTCATTAGAATACTAAGTTAATGCAAAGAGAGATGATGTTTGGATGGCGTAACAACTAAAGGTTTTCATATTTCCTGAAATACAGACAATAGACAACTTCCTGTGCCCCCGCTAACCTGAACCAATCTGCTTGTCTTTTCGTCTGAAATGTCTGTTACTTGACAATACCGGTAATGGGGTTTTGAACTAAACTGAAGTAGTCTGATCCATCAGAGCAATTTCTCCTGTTCACATATGTAGTGATTCTTCTTTCAACTTCAGCTCTAAAATGTGCGGATTTTTACTCCCAGGTTACCCTGAGGCCTTTAAATGAAATTTAAAATCCTACCTTAATTCTATACTAACAAAACTCATCGTCTGGAAATCATTTGAACATGTTGAGAAGTACAACAAATAGAAATGCAATGTATCTCTGCTGTATGTAGCGATATACTGTTCTTTTGTGCACAGCTTTTACTATCAGCCTTGCAGTGGGATTGTCTCCATTATAACTCTCTTTCTAGATCACGCTGTGCACATACAAGAGACATAACAATGCAGAGATGATGTCAGCTGTGTCTAAAGCAAAAACTGCAACTGTCTGCCTATGTTGCAAGGGACCTAGACACAGAGAATCACATTGCCTGCTCCATATAGCATATTTTGACCTTTTATTCCATCTACTAAAAACAAGGTTGCATGAGAGCCTTCTGCTGAACAGCCCTCAAATGCCAGAAAAAAAGATGCATTTTAAAAAAACAGGAAATGAAATTATGGTGCTAATACATGAAATTTCAGTCCTATAGAAGTGCAAGCCATGCTTCTCAGGTCAACACCTAACCAAAGACCAGATGATAACTGCACATAGGGTCTAATTTAACATAGAAAAATGTTGCCATTTACATCAGTGGAACTTCACAAATTTAAGTAAGATTTGTACGCTCATTTCTATAAGATTACCTGCAAGTGACTTCTGCCTTCCACTCCTCCCTCGGCTAATTGATCTCCATCATCTATTTTGTCAGTTGCATTTCCATATCTTTCTGAATCACAGCGGTATCTAGCATTTGGGACAAAGTTTGCAGAGGACCTCAATAAAAAAGTAATGGAAGAGAGCCAGCTTTTGTAGCAAGATCATGTTAAGTGCATACATTTAGTACCAGCTCCTCGGCAGCAGTGTGCTGCAAGCATGTGTTTGGGCTGTGTTTGTTTTAAATTTTGTTCCCTCCAAAGAAACTTCCATTCATATCACACAGACTATGCAAATCTGTCGATTTGTAAAAAAAAAAAAAAAGGTAAAAATGTGGGGAAAAAAGCCTCCAAGCAAAACCCTGTTAGTCATCTAGAGATATCAAGGTTTAAAAGGCAAGTTTAAAATACCAAATCTGAGATACTTTTCTTCAAGTTTCAAAATAAATGTTCATGATTAGTTGGCTTAAGAAGTGCATGTTGTGAGAAAAACAAAACACTACTTATCATTTCGGCAGTTGCCCAGTGTCTGTTTGGTCTGTTCATCAATGGCTCTAAACGTTTGATTTTTCTGTCAACTATATTCAAGAACAACTTTGTCATGCTGAGAAAATCCAACTTCTTTATATTTTGGAAATAACATCTTACTAGGCAACATGGAAGAAACTATGTATGTAGTTTCAGCTACATTTTATTATATATTTTATTTAATATATTTAATGTACTGACAGACATTTTTGTTAAGTTCTTTTTTGTATTTTGCCCTGGAAATGTTTATTTTGCTACACCATCAATATTGCAAAAATGCAATAAAATACAGGGCCAGTAAGGTACAGAGATGTATCTGAGTATATATGACTACGGTCATCTAAGAGCTATGCTTTAGATCAATGATTTGGGGAAATTTTTTGTACTCCTCAATGATTCTGGGAAGTCACTTAGGATAGTTACAGCTCGGTTTCCCCATCTGCTCAATGAGCATCCCAGAAACGAAGATGGAAAAACAAAGTGGAAAGCATTTCAACTTATCTTGCTTTCTGGTCAAAATCCATCCTGGTGAGCATCAGATGAGCACATTTTTATTTACTTGTGTTGTTGCTGAGTCTGCTCAACGGTACTGCATTCAGGCAGATGTGGGAAGACCATTTTCCTGAGCCAAGTGACCAGTGTAACAGAAAGGTCCAACAGGGAAGTGAAACCATTACCTGTCAAAATACATCAGCTACTCAGATATATATATTTTTTTGGTTCTTTTGCTATGCGAGTATTAAGAATCTCCATAAATTCTTCTCTTTTACTCTTTTCATGAATTAGGCCAACAAGTATCCTCAGCGTTACCGTGCCGTTTTCATCAGAGCACTAATGTGCGGTAGGTCTGTCCATTTGATAAAGTCAGGCTTAACCATTTTTGTTTGTGCTACTGGTTGGGTGGTCTTTGCTGTTAACGATGTGGCCTGTTAAATCTCACTGGGGTTAGGATTTATCAGGAAGTCTGCAGTGGATGGACTGACAGCCTTTGTTTTCCAAACTGTTGATGCCTTCCATTGTGTTTTGTTTCAGACATTTAAAT